GAATCCCATTGCAGCAAAGCCATCCACTATGGCCTGCACATTTCCCAGAGTCACTACCTTTTGTAGCAGCATCTGAGTGATTGCTTTGGCTACTTGCATCACAGCAGCCCCCACAGTAGATTTGCCCACTCCAAATTGATTCCCGACTGACTGGTAGCTGTCTGGCGTTGCAAGCTTCCACAGGGCTATCGCCACTCGCTTCTCAACTGTGAGGGCTGCTCTCATCCTGGTATTCTGGCGTTTCAGGGCAGGGGACAGCAAGTCACAAAGTTCCATGAAAGTGCCCTTACGCATGCGACTGGGAATCATCCCACACCTGCAACACTATGCGGTCCCACCAGTCTGTGCTTGTTTCCCTTGCCCAGAATCAGCGTTCCATGGATAGAACCTGCCCCATTAACAACATGATCTCCAAAGCACCGGGGCCCGCGGTTTGACAGAATTCTGTGTCCATGTCCATGTCCATGTCCTCATCACGCTTGTCGCTGCGCTGCCGCTGCCTCCTCGCCTCGTTTTTCTGGTCCTGGCTCAGCATAAACGCCACGAGAACGCGCGAGGTGTTTACAATGTTCATGACTGCTGTCTTGAGCTGAGCGGGCTCCATGCTTGCCGTGGTATGGAGTCTGCAGTGTTCACCCAGGAAAAAGGCGCAAAATGGTTGCCTGACGTCCGTTGCTTTCATGCAGGGAGGGAGGGAGGGGTGAGGCTGTACCCAGAACCACCTGCGACGATGTTTTTTGTCCCATCAGGCACTGGGATCTCAACCCAGAATTCCAATGGGTGGGAGAGACTGCGGGAACTATGGGATAGTTATGGGATAGCTACCCACAGTGCAACGCTCCAGAAATCGACGCTAGCCCCGGAACATGGACGTACACCGCCGAATTAATGTGCTTAGTGTGGCCACATACATTCGACTTTATACAATCTGTTTCCCAAATTCGAATTATATAAATTCAGATTAATCCCGTAGTGTAGACATACCCTTTGACAGGAGATCATGATATATCCCTTAGATGTTTATATCTAAATTTAATTGCTCTAAAATGTTTATATTTTTGTAATAAAATGAAAATATCAACTATTGATCATGTGCATTATTATGGGAAACTTATTAAAACAAATTCAGATGTAGTTTGGCTGGTTTTTGTTCTTGCTTCTAAGTAATATGAGAATCTTCTGGTGTTGCATTATTTGTTACTGGCAGAAGGATTATGAGACCCACAATCTCTTTATAGAAACTCTGGAGTGCCAGACAGAGGAAGGTTTCAGAGTAGCAGCCGTGTTAGAGGAAGGTTTTGCAGAAAATATTACCTTAAATGTTATGCATTATAGCAGCAGTAGCTGTCATAAAGTGACTTTGGTGGCAAATTTTTATTCTGTAATAGCTAATACTAATAAGAGCTCTGTTCCATAATACTGTATAAGCTCTTTATTTCTGTGATTATTTCTCATAAAGAGCTTCTGTGGATTCATTTTGAGTGAAATGAGTACTTTTAAAACAGCCTAAATTAATTTAGAGGTAAGGTAAATACGTCTTAGTAAGTAACACCTTTCAATAGATTTAACATAAGAACATAAGAATGGCTGTCCTGGGTCAGACCAAAGGTCCATCCAGCCCAGTATCCTGTCTACTGACAGTGGTCAATGTCAAGTGCCCCAGAGGGAGTGAACCTAACAGGTAATGATCAAGTGATCTCTCTCCTGCCGTCCATCACCACCCTCTGACAAACAGAGGCTAGGGACACCAGGGATACCTTTTGTCTTAAGGTATAATTATTAAAATTAATAATTTTTACAAATCCTATGCTTGTTTTTTTTGTTGTGAATTTAAATATTACTACCACCTTTGACACCATGTAAATAGACAAATGATCTAAAGAATAAATTATGGATTGTGAAAAGATGCTGAATAAAGAAAAAGTTAATTGCATTGAATCATAAAGACATTTTATTTTAAAATTGCCTTAAAATCACTGATACAGTTAGAAGAATAGGGGAGGAAAAAATCACTAGTAGGTAATAAGTGATGTGATCTTATATACTGCATAAACATTGTCTTTTGGGAACATATTTGCTACAGATAAGGGACCATCTTTATCACGAGGAGCAGTCCCATAGCTCTGAGCGGGAAAGAATGAGGACAGAAATCTCTGACCTGACAGAAGAGCTTCATCAGAAGGAGATCACTATAGCAACTATCATGGAGAAAGCTACTGTTCTGGAAAGAAAGTTAAAAATGGAGTTAGAGATAAAAGAAAAATTGTTAGCAAAACAACAGGTATGCAAGCAAGCAAAAAGAAGACTAGGTCATTCTCCAGCTCATTACTGATAATGACATACATTATCTGCTAAAAAAAAAAAAAATTACATCTTGTGCTTTTGTTTTCATTGGCCTGCTATTATATTTAAGCTTTATGAAATAATACAAAAATAGAGCCAAAATGGTGCCAGAACAATAAAGGACCAGTAAACGTCAATTGTGCAACATCTAACTTTAACATATGGTCCATTTTGATCATCAGTATTGTAGTTACATTTAAGCACATAGAAGATCTTGAAAAATTCTAGGTTGGTTTTATTATACCTACTGTATCATTAAATTTGTTCATTAGATTAGCCAGAAACTTTTTCTAATTTTGACCACTCTTTTTAACCTATTGATTAAAGAATGTTTATGAAATTTTTTGGAGAAGTCTGTCAATTGTAAAGCTCAATTGTTAATCTTGCAGTATTGTAAATCATTGTAAACTTCAGTTTTAAAAACAAATAAGCTCCATCCTTTATTCACATATTTGAAAACATCTGGGTAGCAGAAACACAACTTACCCAAACCCTTGAAATTTAGAGGTGCTAATTTCTATTTTTGTAGGGAAATTAATGCTTCTTCTATTCAAGAAAAGCTTTCACTATATTAGTGTCATGATTCTTTATGAATGTTTTGAGTAAAGTATAAAATTAAACTTACACAGAACTATACTGAATATTTTGTAGCTAATATTGTTAAGTTCAACTAAGAATTTAATTTTTCCTCAGATGTCAGAGATGAGGTATGAAGCTATCAGCTCGGAAAACACACATTTGAAGAAGATGATAGAAAATCTGCAGTCTAGAAGATACATGGTAATTTTTGTAGCTGTGAAATATACAAAGCAGTTATTTATGTTTGTTGTTGTAATGATCTCGGGGTTCATTAAATAACAAATCAGTGAATGAGAAAGGAATAAGACTTTAATAAAAGAAACTGGAGAGCTTCTGCACACAGCCATGCAGTGTTCCCAACCTTGGCCTCTAGGGAAAATCTCCAAATTCCTACATAATTACGTTGTCTCTTATGAGGGAACATCTCCAAATCACAATCTTTCATAAATATTGTGACAGTTTGCCCCTCTTTGGTGCCCCCTGTTGTGCTGAGATACCATTGAGCCTGCCTGTTATGCCAGCCTAGGCACCCTTTGTATCTGTCTTGCTGAGCCAAGCTAGTAAGCTTCCTTCAGCACATGGGGTTATGTTATAAAGAAGAAATAAGTATATTGACTACAAAAGGTGAATTTTAAGTGAATATAAGAGATAACAGACAGAACAAAGCAGATTACTGAGCAAATAAACCAAAGTACGCAAGCTAAGCTCAATATACTTAAGAAACAGGTTACAAAATGTAATTTCTTACCCTAAGTGTTATTTTAGTCCCTGGTAATGTTTAGTATCAGGTAACAAGACCACCTGACCTAGTAGTGTCACAGTTATGTCCAAACACCTCCCAGGAGGGAGAGAGATTAGTATCTTCATGGTTTTGTTGTTCCTTCCTGATGGCTCATCAAATTTGATGACCTGTCGTCTGGTGGGTGTCTTCCCAATACACACTCAGTTGTAACTGTTACATACTCCATATTCCTAACTTTAGATACAGAAATGATACATGCATACAAATTTGATAATCACATTCAGTAAATTATAACCTTTCCAATGATATCTTACAAGATCCATCTTGCATAAAGTACATCTCCGTTATGTCATATCCATAACATAAGCATAACATTTCCAAAAATGCTAAGGCATTCTAATTCAGCTTAATAGAGGATCTTCCCAACCATTATAAATATAAATATGTAGGTACCTATATTGTTTCCATTGACACACTTATTTTAAACATTTATCAGTGAAATCTATAGACCATTTTCCCCTTTAAGAACCAGATGAATGTATTCATTAGTAGAAAACAAATATTATTTGCAACTTTAATTACTAAAATTATGACCTGCTTATTTTGAAGTATTTCCTCCATGGATTTTCATTTATGTTACATAACAGCCCAATTATTTGATGTACTAAGCACCTCCAGTAGAATTCAGAGCTTCCTCATTGTCTGTGGAAGTTAATGGGGGTTGAAGATGCTCAGAACTATGAAGAAGGTGCTCAGCATTTTGCAGATTTTAGCCTTTAACTCGTTAGCCCTTTTGCACATTTCCAATTCCTTTAACCCCCAAAATCTAAGAGCTTCTTTTTTATACTAGTTGTAATTTTGGTTGAATCAATGAGGTTTTGGACCTGCAAACTAAATAATTTTACAGTAGCTTTTATAATGACAGCCTTGCAAAGTCACCTCTGAGGGTAGTGTTGGAATTGGATTTCAATCTCTAAACTCAGTTACCATTTTTTTTTCTATTGCATCTTTTTGAACTCCAGGGAAACCTGTTTATTTATAAACAAATGTCTAAGAAGATTTCTCCAGGTTTTTTATCAATAGTCTGGCATGTCTTTCTAGATGTTTTGCCTTTCACACCCATGTATTGCTACTATAGATAGCGTTTAAACGAATAGTCTGATAATGCCTTTGTGTATTTTTTCTTATTATTCTTATTAGTGGAAATATTACTTGAGGAGGAAATATAGTTAAATCAACTGCAAACTTTGGCAGCTAAGGATTACTTTCATGGCTTAGTTTTTCAAGGAGAGTAAGTCAAATAAACCGAACAAATTTACTACTCTACTGCCTTGAATGCATTGTTTGTGGAAAAATTCTAATTTAATTTCATTGTGTTTCAAAGGCTATTATTCCCATTAATGTCGTTCTTTTTTTCTAGAGGCACTTCTACTGGTGTATCATTTACTATGAATGCTGTGTGATTACATATGGTAACTAAGTATTTAGCAAAGAGTGTTGCCTTGTGTTTCATTTTAAAAATATTAATTCTAGTTACAGTGAAAAAATGCCCATTTAATGATGATTTTATTTTCTTCCACAGACTATAGATTTATCTAACACAGAACATGAGAGTTACACAGCTTCCATTCATGAACTTGAGTGTGAGAATGAAAGGTTACGAAATAATGTTGGTAAATTGCAGAGTGATTCAGAAACATCAATACTGGCTACTCTGGATAGATATGGAGAAACAAAGCACACTAAGCAAACCCAATTAGAAATGCAAGAAAAGGAAGAGAGGTAAAATTTAAGTTGCAAAGATACATTAATTTTTCCATAAGCGTTTTGTAAGCGTCTTTTAAAAGAGTCAAATCCTGAAGTCCTTACTCTGTTTTTGTTCATTTAAAACTCCCACTACCTCAATAGACATTTAGTTCAATTAGTAAGCAAGTACGGCTGCAGAATTTGGCCAGAATTTAAATTATTAAAACATCTGTTTATTATTTATAGATTATTTTTGTGCTGTTTCTTTTCAAATCAATAAAAATTTTGAAGATAAAGTACATTGGCACCTGATACTGGAGACCCATGGAAGCCAGTGGGAATCTGCAAGTGTTTAATATTGCAGAATTGTACCCAATGGATATAAACCCTGGTTTCTGAGTTGCAGGCAATATTACAATATAATAACATCAGAAATCTGGTATAATACATTTAGCAATAAATCAGGACTATTATTATAATTTTAGGGTTGATATCTGCTCTTATACAAAAACTCCTCATTTTTGTTTGCCCACTGGTTATGGTGCAGGAACTCCAGTGTGTGCTAGGGTGCCTAACTGAAGAGAACAGAGGCAATTTTCAAGACAATTTAGGACTATATCTAATTTTCATATACATTTATATGAATTTTATTATCAAAATATACACAACCATAATTTGTGTGGTACCTCAATCTTCCTTGATAATATACTAATAGAAATATTTTTGTTTGTTCTGAGCAATAAAAATTGGCAGTTTATCAGCTTTGTCTTCACCCTGCAGTCACAGAGATAAGTTAGTCAGGAACACATTTTTATGACTCCAGGGGATACATTTGAATCTCTGACACTAACCTGTGCATCTTATGTTGTTCAAATATGAGGGAAAAATATGGTTTCATTTACTTATTTAGATGTGTATACACACTAAAAAAGAGCAAATATCCATTTGTTATGGGCACCCAGAACATAACTGAAATTTATATCTATCTACCTATAAAAATACTGAAACATATCTAAAGTACAGCAGTACAATTCAGTATGGCCCACTACCAGCAAATCAAGGAATTCAAAAGCTTAAATCTCCCTCCAACAATTCCCCACTCTGACATTTCCTCTCCTAATTTTGAATTCCTGTGAAAAGATGAGCTTCTCAGAATACCCTGAACATCATCAAGTTCAGGCTACTTTGGACCAACACCTTTCATCCCAAACTGTTTTCCCAACAAAAAAACAAAAATATACATGTAGTGGTGGAGTGGCCATTTACTGAGCACCCCCTTATGGCCAGGGATTGCTTTACAAGAACTCTCCCTATTAGCCCCCTCTTGCAAGCCCCTTTAAGTACTACACACTGTCTTAGTTGTGGCTTACAGCACCCCTTTTTGGGTCTGGTTTAATATCAAATAAAGTTCGCACAATCCTCACAGTCTTTACTCACAATGAGTCTAGGGTTACCAGAGAGCAACTGTGAAAAAACAGGACGGGGGTGGGGGGTAATAGGCGCCTATATAAGAAAAAGTCCCAAAAAAATGGGACTGTCCCTTTAAAAACGGGACATCTGGTCACCCTAAATGAGTCCCACACATAATGTCCATAACCGTAACTTAACAGTTCATACTTAGCTCCGGTTCTTGAGCCACACCCAAAGCTCTTCCTCTGTAAATCTGCTCCACCCAAAGCCAATAATCCTGTCTGGCTGGAGCTCACTCGATTGGCCCTGGCTTCCCTCTGCAGCAGTGTCTCCCTTCATCAGAATGCAATCTATATATTGCCCTCCTCCAGAGAGCTCCTCCTGATTGACTGGAGGAGAGGAGAGCTCGGTCCCATCATACATTACAGAGCTCCTGATCCTAGGCCCTTAAAGGAACTGTGTTCAAGGGTTTTTCCCACCTCATGCAACTCCTAGTTCTGCAGGACCACTTCCTCTGTTCCACTATCATTTTCTGGGCCCATTTTCCATTCCAACACCTGACACCAGGTCTTCTGGCCCCTGTATTCTTAAAGGGCCAGTATGCCCTGTTATAATAAAGGAATTACATCACCATTAAAATAAAATGTGGCCATCATTAGGATGACAGGGTGGCAGCCAAAGGGCAGCTACAATATAGTATTTTGCACAACAGTGAACATAGTTGAAAATGCACCAAGGGAAAATCTTTTCTCTTAGAGAGTACCATGGGATTACTATTACTTATTATTTATGTAATGCTTCTGCCAGGTGCCATCGACAGCACCAAGGGCTCTGTTCCATATCTAGGGGTTTCTCTTAACAGGGCCTATCCCAGTTTATCAGAAACTTCAGCTCTAGCAGTCACATAGAAGAAACAAGGACTCACAACTGAATCGGATCAGCTCTGTCTAAAGACTGGAGAGGGAAGGTCAAATGGCTTTAGTACCCTTTAAACAAGTCCACACAACCAGATAAAAACTCCATCACTACCATTCACTTAGCGAGTTAATTTAGGGTGATCCTCCTCAATTAAGGCATATTAAATATAGTTCTACTGCTCTTTATTATACAATAAGGATAATGACATTACATTACCCCTGCATCCAAGACTAAAGTGAATTTTAACCCAGACCAGCCAAAACTGATCACTTGGCAGAGCAGGCTGGTCTGCTGATCACCTAGGCAAAGTAAGTGTGTCTTTGAAAATAAGGTCTGCTCCTGAAGTCTTTCTCTCCAGTTCATCAATTAATGGCAGGGGAGAGCTCATTCAGACAACTACGTTTAAATTGTGATAGCACCTAGGAGCCCCAGTCATGACTATGCCCCCCTTGTGTTAGGCATTTTACAAACACTGAACAAAAATATGTTCCTTGCCCCAAAGAGTTTACAATCTAAAGATCTTCAATGACAGACAGACCAGACAAGAGCACAGTTTTTAAGGATTCAGCAGAAAAACACACAAATTAAACTCTATAAAACTCGGTTTATGCTTATCAGATGGTTTAAAAGCTGTATTTATATTCCTTGAATTTTAGTCTTAGTGAGTCTAGTTTTTTCTAAATTGAAGCTTAGGGGAAAGTTGTGGCTTTCAGTCTCTGGAATTCTGTGGTATTGGAGCATGTTGTGTGTTTTAGAAGGAAGCATGATAACTATGGTGGTCATAATGCCTCTGGGGGCATTGGAGGAGCCTGATGAGGAAAGATGTGGTCTCCTCTGCCTATATTTTTATATTGACATCAATGAGACTACTCACATACGTAAAGTTAAGCAAATGCTTAAATGCTTTGTTGGATTGAGGCCAGAGTATATAGTGCCATGTGGGATCATAATGAGGAAGTATATTCTTTGTGCAGGTAATGATGTACTTTGTTGAATCTATTACCATAATTTGTAAGAGGAGTCTTTTTATGCCTTTTAAATAGTAACAGTTGAATGTAACAGTTTGTGTACTTCTAGCAAGCAGCACAGACTAAATAGGTGAGGTGCTTTTTCCCCACCAAAAAGCAGCATTTAGCATAAACTGAGATTAACACCACACAGCTAATTATAACCCAAAGAACCAAGAAGAAAGAAACAATCAATTACCATTGCTGATTTTGTTAGGAGAGTCAAAATCCTACTCACTCTATACAAACAGTCCAATGTCTACACAATCATAAACTCTTACCGGGGAAGTTAAGTGTCTGTATGTTGCAAAGTTCATTCATTGATTAAATCCTCAGATCCATATTATTTTACTATCTTTTCACTTTCTCTGTAACTTTTCTCATGATGAAGTAACAGCATAGTCTGAAAATATAATATTTTTGAGTCTGTATCTGACTCATCTCTGTCAAATGGAAACTATTGTGTTTCCGTGTTCTGTAAAGGGCTGTTTGTATTGGTAGCCTTTTCTTCAACTGTGTGGCTCAAATCATGGCAGCAAGATCTGAAGTGAATGACTAGTAAACATATGAAGCTTGTCATACTCTTATCTTAGTTTACTGTTAGTATCAGTATTGGTTTTGGCAATTTTTATTAAAAACTGTATTGATAGTCATAAATATTACATTTTGTAACAGGCCCAGCTCCATCCTTGTCTAGGTTTACCATAAATCCGTTTTTTCCCGGACATGTCCGGCTTTTTGGTAATCAAACCCCTGTCCGGGGGGAATTGCCAAAAAGCCGAACATGTCCGGGAAAAATACCGGCCGGGCACTTCCCCTCCTGGGCTCCAGCTGCTCTGCTCCTCCCCGACTCTTCGGCTCTGTTTAAGAGCCGAGCTGCCCGAGCGCTCGGGCTTTGGGCAGCCTCCATGCCTCCAGACCCCAAGCCGCTGGCTGGGCACTTCCCCTCCCGGGCTCCAGCTGCTCTGCTCCGGCGGCGCAGGGTCCGGAGGCAAGGCGGCTGCCCGAAGCTGGAGCGTTCGGGCAGCTTGGCTCTTAAATAGAGCCGAAGAGTCAGGGCAGGAGCACAGCCGCCGGAACCCGGGAGGGGAAGTGCCCGGCCAGGGGCGCAGGGTCCGGAGGCATGGGGGCTGCCCAAAGTCCGAGAGCTACCGGCTTCATGGTTTGCCAGGAGCCTCCAGACCCTGCGCCCCCGGCTGGGCGCTTCCCCTTCCGGGCTCCAGCTGCGCTGGGGAAGCGCCGGCCGGGGGCGCAGGGTCTGGAGGCTGCCCGGCAAACCGTGAAGCCGGTAGCACTCGGGCAGCCCTTTTCGCTTGGCTGGGAGGGAGGTTGGGAGTTAGAGTGGGGACTTTGGGGAAGGGGCGGGGAAGGGGCGGAGTTGGGGTGGGAAAGGGGGTGGGAAAGGGGCGGGGGCGGGGCCCGTGGAGTGTCCTCTTTTTTTATTTTTTAAATATGGTAACCCTATCCTTGTCCCCTGCAGAAATCGCACAGACTCCACTAGGTGTGCTCTTAGTAACACTTTATTTCTATTTCTCTTCACCAGTATCACCACAGACCCCGTGCTCCTACCTATTTACAATCTTTGCTGAGCTTTATGATCGCTGAGTAGCACCTGCAAGGAACAGAGATCTTCCTACTCTGGGACCACTGCATTGCCAGGCTCAGCTAGCCCTGTTTCTCCCACCTGCCCCTTCTTGCACT